AGGCTTCCCCCAGGCCCCGGCCCGCGCGCGCGGTGGTCATGGCGACGGCGGGAACCTCGGGAAGACCCCCCTCCCCCCGCCTCCCAGGCCATCCCCACTCCGGTTTGAGCCGGTTTCCGCACCCGGCCCGCATACGCTCGGCGGTGGGAGAGAGGATTCCCCGGCCCCCGGGGCGCAGGGGGAGGGGAGGGGGGGTCCACGCATGCGCATGCGGAGTGGCTTCCCTGCCCCAGCCGGCGCGCGGGAAAAGCCCCGGCGTTGCCAAGGCGAGCGTCCTGACGCAGGCGCAGTGAGGGCGGCCCGCCCCACTCCCCCGCCCGGTTGCCTTGGTAACGAGCGCGCACGGAGGGCTGGGAGGGTTCGGAACTCCGCTCCTCTCACTCCCCCACCCTCCGAGAGCCGGGGAGTCCCTGCTGCCAGCGCGCATGCGCCTGCCCGGGATTTCCGCAGGGGCGGGGCCGGAGAGAGAAAGGGGCAAAAGTGGAACAAACGCTGTCGCCGTCGCCTTTGTGACTGAGGGCGGACCTGCATCCTCCCGCGGGACTTTTATCACCACTGTGCTCCTCTGGTTGTCCCTTGATGGTCCCCTTCCCCCCCTTGCCCTCCCCTCCGACTTCGCTCCCAATTCCGCCATGGCTCCCCAGTGCCCCAAGGGGAACTCCGGCCTCAGTCGCCAGCGTCCAAGGCTGTCCCTCCCGCTCGGTGGACCCCGACCACTGCCCGCCGTGAGGGTCCAGACACCGTCACGTGGGAGGCTCCTTTGCCAAAACGTCAGGACACGCCCATCTCGGGGACGAGGGACTCCACGTGTTTGGCTCTATTTTATAGGGACTGAGGCACTTGCGACCGGCCTTCAGGCAGCGTGGGACTCGAACCCGGGACGTTCGTGGGGAGCTATGTGGACCCACCCCCTTTCTGGCTGGGGCCCCTCAGCCAGTCACCCTTGCCGCTTCTCCCGCGGATTCCCAGCTGTGTGTGACACAGAATGGACGCCTGGTGGTGGCTGTCACCCCCTCCTCAGTGACGCACTCGGCCCGCCTGAGATGCCAGGACGTGGGCACGTGCTGGCTGGGTGTTGGCCCCGAACTAAGGCCGGGGGAGTGCGATCAGCCATTCATTCCTTGCGCAGCTGGTACAGGCTACGCCCCACCCTACGCTGGGTGCTTTCTCGGCCACTGTCATTGTCCCCCGCCCCGCGCGCACGCTCTTCTTCAACGGCGCCCAGTGATTAATGGCACCCTCCCCGAACAGGGAGAGCCGGGACTGCCGGCCTTTCCGTCCGTACCCGGCTGGGGAACTCCTACTCATCCCTCAAAGCCCTGGGCGGTCCACCTGGCTGCCTGTGGGCGGGGCCCAGGTCTGAGCTCTCGGGGTGTCTGGGGGTGGCGGGCTGCATGTTTCGGCAGGCCGAGCCCCTAATGCAGGAGGACCGGAAGACAAGAGGTGCGCCGGGAGCTGGGCGGGTGGACCCGCCTCATGCCTCAGTGTCCCCCATGGCGGGTGATCTCAATTCCTGGCGGGAACGAGGCTGAGGCCCATCGCGCACTGGCTCATGTGACCACCATGTGTGCGGGTCCCCTACCCCGGGCAAGGCCAGCGTGGACACAGGAGAGGACACAGCGGCGTGGCCCTCGGCCATCGCCCTCCCCGTCCTTCGGAGCAGGATCTGAGTTCGAATCCCGCCGTCCTCCCCGTGCTGGGTGACCTCGAGTCCCAACTGACCCCGGGGAGGTCACAGGTCACCGCCCCCCCACGCGGGGTCACGCACGCACACCGCACGCGGCGTCTCCGCGGGGCCCCGTTTATTGCGCTGGCGGGGATGGGGAAGGGGATGGGCACCGGGACGGGGACAGGGACGTGGACGCGGCCGGTCACTTGGGCGCGTTGAAGGGCAGCGCCCGCTGGTTCATGGGGTTCTCGGGCGCCCGCAGCCACTCCTTCTTCAGCAGCTGCTTCAGCTGCGACAGCCGCATGTTGGGGTTCTCCTGCTTCAGCCGCGGCAGCTGCGCCTCCTCGAAGGCCGTGAAGGCCGCGCGCATGCGCCGCTCGGGGTGCCGGTCCGCCTCCTCCGCCACACTGCGAGGGACACAGCGACCTCAGGGCTGGGCTGCTGGCAGGGCAGCGGGGCTGGTCCCCGAGACCACGGACACGCCCCCAGAGCCAGCCCCGCCCCCGAGACCAGGACACGCCCCCAAGCCAGCCCCGCCCCGAGACCACGGACACGCCCCCCAGGACCAGCCCCGCCCCCGAGACCACGGACACGCCCCCCAGAGCCAGCCCTGCCCCGAGATCACGGACACGCCCCCCAGAGCCAGCCCCGCCCCCGAGAGCACGGACACGCCCCTAGAGCCAGCCCCGCCCCCGAGGGTACGAACACGCCCAGGAGTCAAAGACACGCCCCCAGGAGTCAGCCCCGCTCCCGAGGCCAGGACACGCCCTCAGGGCCAGCCCCGCCCCCGAAACCACGGACACGCCCCCAGAGCCAGCCCGCCCCAGCGTCAGCCCGCCCCGAGGCCAGGACACGCCCACAGGCCTAGCTCGCCCCGGAGGCCACGCCCGCACCCGAGTGCTGCGATGGCGTCCTCGATCGTGCGTGCATCCACGCTGCCGTCCTCGGGTGCGCGTCGGTTCAGATTCTCCTCCAGCGGCACCTCCAGGTGACTCTTGGCTTTCTCGGCTGCAGAGGCGACACGGGGAGGGAGGGGGCGTGAGGGGACACGCAGGACGCAGCCCACGGCACCCCGGCCGCCCCCCTCGGGGAACCACGGCCACACCTGGCTCTTCGCGGGGTGCGTGTTCGCGGCGCAGCGTGTCCTCGATCTGCGCGCGAGTGACTTTGCTGGGCGCCGCCCCGCGGGCCTTGCCGCCCTTGAGCCGGGAGTCCTCCTCCTGCAGCAGCCGCTGCGCCTCCTTCCTGCGCTCCAGCTGCTCCAGGCGCCGCTTCTCCTTCTCCTCCTGCGCGGCACGCGGGTCAGCACCACGACCGCGCAAGCACCCGGGGCTGCACGCGCGCCAGCCCTCACCCCACCCCTCCCCGCGCAGGTGCGAGGACCCTGCGCCAGCGCCGCGCACTCAGTGAAGCCCAGCTCTTCATCGGCGGCCCTCCCTCTCGGTGCGGGAAGAACAGACGGGCCCAGACACTTCCATGGACTGCAGAGGACCTGAGGCCATCAGCGCTGTTTCCGTGAAGTCGGGTTTTAGGGGCGCGCGTCTGGCTCTGCAGCCCAGGCCCGGCTCGAACTCGCTGTCCTCCGGCCCCAGCGTCCCGAGTGCTGGGGTCACTGGTGCGGCCTCCAAGCGTGGCCGGGGTTTCAGTCGGCAGCCATGCTCACCTCCCACTGTGACCGCAGCCCTGGGAGGCTCGGGAGGCCCGGGCCTGGGCCGTATTTCTGAGACACACACTGGACGGTCTGTGCTCGGCCCTGTGCACATCAGTGCGGGACGGAAATGGATTTGCCCTGTGGCAACATTTGATGCCTCCCCCCAAAAAACAAATAGCCAGGAGAAGCAGGGACAGCAACGTCCAGCGGGCTCCAGGGCCACCGAACCACAGACACAAGTCCACTACCCAACCTTCTGGCACCACGGCCACCAGCGCTGTGGCTGGCAAAGGAGGACGGGAGCCACCTGTTGGGCAGAGCGGGTCAGCAGGAGTGGGAACCTAGGACACCAGGGGCCCCATCTCAGGTCAGCACTGCTCGGTGGGCTCGCAGTCCCAGGCCTCACCCACAGGAGCCATGGGCACCTGTCCTCACTACGACAGCCCCAGGCCCCAGGGGACACAACTGCTCCCTGGCAGGGGCATCCGTCTAACCCAGACGAAGACCCCAGGTGCAAAGGTGCAAAAATGCAAAGGCCACCTTTGGCCCCGCCCACGTGCGTCAGTCTTGGCCACACCCACATGGGTCTCAGCCGAGTCCCATTACCCCCTCGCCCTAGGCCACGCCCATCTACGTCTCAGTAGCCCGCCCCACAGCCACGCCCACATCACGTCTCATTGGTTCTCCCCCTACCCATATGCATATCATAGCCTCGTCCCACAGCCCCGCCCTTGAGTCCATGGACACACCCCCCCCCCCCCCGTCCGGGCCACGCCCACCCCTCTCATTGGCCCTGCGGCCACGGCCCACCTTGCGCTGCTCCTTCCTCATGACGTGCTTGTCCTCATCCCTCCAGTAGGCATCTTCCAGTTCCTTCTGCTTCCGGGCATCGGCCGCCGCCTTGGCCTCCGCCCGCCGCGCCCGGGCCGCTGCCGACTTGGTGTTCTCGCCCTGGAACTTCTTGGGCATCCCTCAGCAGGCTGCGGGACAGCGGGGCGGGTGGCTCTCGTCCCCTAAAACTCCTTCCCCTCTCCCAGCCCCTGATCATCCCTGCCCCGGATCACACGCCACGTGGCCCTCGTCTCTGGCTCTGTCACTCGGCGCTGTCTTTTAAAGCTGCCACCACGGCCTAGGAAATACCAGTGCTGTTTGTGCTCCTTTTCCTGGCTGAGTAATACTCCTCTGCAGGACGGCACGTGTCCTATCTGCTAATGGACATCCGTCCAGGGTGGCTCCTGCAAGTCACTGAGAGGGACCCCTGGGTGGCCTTTCCCACTTCCCCTCCTCAGGCTTCACCCCAGGCTCGGTGGGCCTCAATGGGTCCCTGAATCTAGGAAAGCAGCTGCTGGTGTGGGTCACAATGGACATCGGCCAGTGGCCGCACAGACGGACAGCAGGCGCCCCATTCCACAGATGAAAGTGGGGGCCGGGCTCCCCCACTGTGCCTCCTGACTGTGCTCCTGACCTAGGGACATTAGGACACATGACGACTTTAGGCCACCAGGGCAACTCGGCCAGAAGACTGGTCGGTCAGGGTAATCACGAGATCCGCCTCCCCGGGTGTCCCCGCTGGACACGCGACCCTGACCCCATTTCAAGTGGACGGTGAGGTAGGTGTGTCACCTGTGCCCAGCTTTGTCCCTACAGCTGGCTGGACCACTGCACATGGCTGTCGCCTGCACCTGGCTATTTCCCCAAGCCTGCCTATACCAACACTGGGTCCGGCTATGTGTAACCCTGGGGACCCGGATGTCGACCTGGGGACCCGGATGTCAACCTGGGGACCCGGATGTTCCCGTCGGACCTGGCTCGGGATGGATACCCAGTGCGATCACCTCCCAGGACCTCGAGCTCCGGGCCCGGGGAAACGGCACAGCCCCGAGGCGCCGTCCAGATTTCGCGCCGGAAGCACCCCAACTCCAGTACCCTAAGTCCAGCCCTCGGGGAAGTTGTGGGGAGAACCCCGGAACGAGCAACACCCCCCACCAGCCGCCCGCACCCCGCACTCGGCTCCGCCCGCGCCGCGGCAGCTCCTACCTCCTTCCCCCGGCCGCCGGGCCCGTCGCACCTTCGTGACGTCACGGCGGGCCTGCGCACTGGGATGCGTCGGCGCACGCTCATGACGCACAGCGCCTTCGCCATCTTGGTAAAGGCAATACCTTACAGGCTTCTGATCCAATTCAAAGTGAACAATCATTTCTCTTTAGTTTTTATAAAAAGATCATTTATAGAAGTGTATTCTTGTTACTCAGTTCATAGCATGGGGAACCAGGACGGGTGGATTGAAGCTCTGGTCTAGGACATTGCCTTTACCAAGTTGGCCGTTGCCCTTATGAAAGATGGCGGCCGCGATTTCATACTTGGGTCCCACGGCGACCGCCAGCACTTGCCCGGCCGCCAGGGGGCGCCCGAGCTCCGTGCCATATGCTCCCTGCAGGAATCCTAGGCCACCTCCTGTCAATCACTTTATGTCGCAATCCTAGCGGGGTCTTTGCGTCCCACTCACGACTCTCGGGCACAGGAGAGAAGGGCGTGGAAAACACCCCCTCTTTACTGTGCAAAGGAGAAACTGAGGCACAGACAGGGCAGGATGTGAATTTGGATCTCATCCCTGCTGGTCCTTCCTGGATGGTTGACCTCATCTCCTTCATGTTTGTTTGTTTGTTTTTTTAATATTTGTTCTGTTCCTACGCATGGTTGATTGACTAACGGATGGATTTTGGGCATTTAGGGTTGATTCAGGGTCCCATGCTGCACTGATGAGCTCGGTGGTCTCAATGGTAAAATGACGGGGTCAGGATTCGAACTCAGGACCTGGCCATTCCCAGCGCACCATCCCCGAGGCTGCCGCACCCCTGGGAGGTCACCCCGGGGCTCTGTGACAGTCGCAAATCCGGTGACACCGTTCCCGGGCTCCCGAGCCCCGTGGGTTTAAGTCCGGATCCCCTCCCTCGTCTCCGGGGCTGAGGGCAGCGCCGCTGGGATTTGAACCCACGGCCTCTCGCGGGACCCTGCGCCATCTGCGTCGTGATGGGCTCTCCAGAGCCTCGTGCTCAGCCAGGGACACAGGCACGGGGACACGGCCACCCGGGGCTGCGTCCTGCCTCTCTGTCCCTGTCTGTCTGTCTGTCTGTCTCTGTCTCTCTGTCTTCTTCTCTCTGTCTTTCCGTCTGTCTGTCTCTGTCCCTCTGTGTGTCTCTCTCCCTCTGTCTCTGTCTGTGTCTCTCTGTGTCTGTCTGTCTGTCCCTCTGTGTTTCTGTCTGTCTCTGTCTCTGTCCTCTGTCTCTGTGTCTCTCTGTCCCTCTGTCTGTGCATCTGTCTGTCTCTGTCTCTCTCTGTCCCTGTCTCTATGTCTCTGTCTCTCTGTGTGTGTGTCCCTGTGTCTGTCTGTCTGTCTCTCTGTCTCTGACTCTCTGAGTCTGTCTCTGTCTGTCTGTCCCTCTGTGTTTGTCTCTGTCTCCATCTGTCTGTCCCCATCTCTCTCTGTGTCACTGTATCTCTGTCCATCTCTCTGTCCCTGTCTGTCCCTCTGTCTCTCTGTGTCAATGTCTCTCTATCTCTGTCCATCTGTCTGTCCCTCTGTCCCTCTGTCTGTCCCTCTGTCTCTCTGTGTCAATGTCTCTCTATGTCTCTCTATCTCTGTCCCTCTGTCTGTCCCTCTGTCTCTCTGTGTCAATGTCTCTCTATGTCTCTCTATCTCTGTCCCTCTGTCTGTCCCTCTGTCTCTCTGTGTCAATGTCTCTCTATGTCTCTCTATCTCTGTCCCTCTGTCTGTCCCTCTGTCTCTCTGTGTCAATGTCTCTCTATGTCTCTCTATCTCTGTCCATCTGTCTGTGTGTCGCTCTGTCTGTCCCATCTCTCTGCGTGTGTGACTGTCTCTCTGTCCTGTCTCTGTCTGTCCCTCTGTCCCTCTCTCTCTTTGTCTGTCTGTCCCTCTGTCTTTCTGTGTCAATGTCTCTCTATCTCTGTCCATCTGTCTGTCCCTCTGTCTGTCCCTCTGTCTGTCCCTCTGTCTCTCTGTGTCAATGTCTCTCTATGTCTCTCTATCTCTGTCCCTCTGTAAGTCCCTCTGTCTCTCTGTGTCAATGTCTCTCTATGTCTCTCTATCTCTGTCCATCTGTCTGTCCCTCTGTAAGTCCCTCTGTCTCTTTGTGTCAATGTCTCTCTCTGTCCCTCTGTCTGTCCCTCTGTCTCTCTGTGTCTATGTCTCTCTATGTCTCTCTATCTCTGTCCATCTGTCTGTCTGTCCCTCTGTCTGTCCCCATCTCTCTGCGTGTGTGACTGTCTCTCTGTCCTGTCTCTGTCTGTCCCTCTGTCCCTCTGTCTCTTTGTCTGTCTGTCCCTCTGTCTCTGTCTCTGTCTTTCTATCCCTGTGTCTCTGTCCCCCCACCCGTATGAGTGGCACCTGGCCTCGCCCTCCTGCCTGGTGACAGGTCAGATGTCACCGGCCCCTCCCTGGTACGGGCGTGGTTGTAGAGTGACTAAACGTGACCCGCTGCTGCGGGGGCGGGGCGGGGGGCGGGCCGCGGAGGGGTCCGTGTCCCCACACCGTGCGCAGCGTGACCTCCGCCACCGCGATAAGCTTGGCGACTCCGAGAGCCAACATGGCGTATCTTGTGTCAATGTTTGCCGTGGCTCCAGCTCGATTAGCGCACGGGGTTCCCGCGGGGGTGGTGGCGGGGGACATTGTCACTTTTCCGTCCCCAGAGGAAACTGCAAGGGTTTCCCCAATTTCTGCACCATTTTCAGGAAGCTCACCTTCTCACACGCTGGGCTTCGGGAGCGAGTGCAGCTCCCAGGCAGCCCCGAGGTCATGGGAGGAAACGAGCCGGTCGGTGAGCGCTGGCCTAGCCAAAAATAAATTAATTACGAATTGATTTTGTACCGCGGCCCTCCTTTTTCAGGGTTGACTACTACTCCACCGCGGGGACAGTGCCCCCGTCACTGGACGCTTGGGGCCTTCCATCTCTGCCTGTCACACGCACTGCATCTGTGGGATTTGAACTCAGGGCTGGTGCTCTACGGCTTGAACCACACCTCCAGTCCGTTCTGCTCGGATTATTTTAGAGATGGGGGTCCCGGGTAACCGTTTGTCCAGGCCGGCCTCGCACCGCGATCCTCCCCATCTCAGCCTCCCGAGTGGCTGGGATTTACAGGCGTGAGGCACCGGCTGGCTGGGTTTTCATTTTGAAGCCTTGCTTGGTGACAGTGACACCAGCCTCCCTGCCTCCGTGCCCAGCACCCCTGTGACCCAAACCCCGGCCTCTGGCCTCTACCCCGGCCTCCCTGCCTCCTCTCTGCTCCCACACCATCCTGGCTCCCGAGCGCCCTGGTCCCCGACACCGAGGCCACACAAGGAGACCCCAGGTCACAGAAGGAGGGGCTGTCGGGAGGTGACGGCGGTGGCAGCTGCCCTGGGCCAGGTGTGTCTGAGCTGGGCGTCCTCCCCCGGATCCCAACCAGGCCCTTGTTTGATGAAGGCAAGGGTCCCCGAGATTGTCACTATCGCGGTCACCGCCGTCCATTAGGAGCGGTCAGCCCGACTGCAAACAGTCCAGTCCCCCCCCCACCCCGCTGGCTTTTGTGTCCCCAAAGGGGACACTGGGGAACCTCGGCCCCCGCCCAGCCTGCCCGCTGTCCCTTGCTCGGAGGCCCAGGGCGGTGCTGGACTCAAACATTTGCCCTGGAAACCAGAGGCCCACGGGTGACTCAGGCCACCACCACCGTGGGCCTCTGGGGACACTACACGAGGGACCCCTGACCGGTCACCTGTAGCCATCCCCAGAGGAACGGCTGACGGGGCCTCTTTCTTTGGGGGACCGGAAGCTTCTGGAAGCAGACAGAGGGGGGGTCACACAGCACGGTGGTGACAAATGTCAGTGAGTCGGCGAAGTTCAGGAACAAATTGCAGCAGGGGCGCCGGCACTCCCCTGTAATCCCAGCCACTCGGGAGGCTGAGATGGGGAGGATCGCGGTGCGAGGCCACCCTCGGACAAATAGCTGTACCGGCCTCTGGGTTTCTAGAAGTCGGACCGTGACATGGCCTGGGGATTGGCGTTGCCGGGGTGACCGAGCCACCGCTAAGTCCCCACCTTGCACAGAGAGGGTGACCGGGGGGGAGGCACCCCAGCTTGAGGGGCGGCTGTGGGGTCGAGAGACTCAGCTGCACCTGGAGCCAGCCGAGCCTGATGTCCACCACCCCACCCACGGTGGAGCCCGACAGGTGCCGGTCACCTGCTTCCCACCCGGCCTGACCCGGCCTGACCCGGCCTGGCGTCCACCGGGTGACAAGTCTCTGGAATTTAAAGCCTCGTTCTTGGCTTCATGTTGGATTCCAGCATCAGCAGGGGGACGGGGGGGGTCCAGCTGGCTTTGGGGGACAGCGAGGGGGACAAAGACGCCTGGCAGGGGGAGGGGCATCTGCAGCGAGGCCACCAGGGTCTGAGGGACAGCAGCCCCGCAGGGAGAGAGCTGAGGACAACACAGACCGCGTCCAGCTGGGCCGGAGGCCGCAGGGGACTGCGTCCCCGACGAGATGAAAAGGGAAGAAATACCACGAGGGCGGCCCCCCTGCGTGCCGCACAAACATCGGAAAACTTCCTTTCTGTTTGTTTTCTCTAAAAAATGGGGGACGAGGAAGCGGCCTGGTGCAGGGCGTGGGAGAGAGACTCTGGTGACGCCGGCCGGCCATCGGGGACAAGGACATGACCATTCCTTCCCTGTGAAAGAAGTCCACCTGAGGGCCGCGAGGTGGAGGATGAGGCCGTGAGACCCCATCTCCAACACGGCCGCGGCGGCCGAGCGCGGTGCTCCACCTGTAATCCCAGCCCCTCGGGAGGATCCCGACCACCGTGCACAGCACCCTCTCCTTCCACACAGAGACCTGCACACGGTGTCCTCGGCAGGTTTATTCCCACAGGCAAAAGCTGGACCCAACCCGGTGTCCACCCCCCACGGGAGGAATGAGCCACGGGTGAGTACTACTCAGCAG